AAATGTGTTTTATTTGATGCAAATATTAACTCAACTGCTTCTCTTCTTTATATACACAAAACTCACCCCACCAACAATTAATACACTAACAACGAATTGTTACGGATTTTCTTTTAGTGCTTTAATTTATCAAAACAATTATATAGTCGGGTGGTAGAAAACCCGAATCATCCTACCAAAAAACAAATAGATATATAGTCACATATATAAAAAGAAACGACTTAACATATACTACTTTTTTTGTTTCTCTTAGCAAAAAAGTAGTATATGTTAAATCGTTTCTTTTTTTTGTTAATTGAGGTACATCATCAATGTTATTATTGTGCTATGTGATATATTAGCATGTAGTTTGACGAGAAAAATAGAAAAAGATGCCAGCCATGTAACTATTCTAGGAATTTATCAACCAATTTTAAATTTTAATCACCTATATAATATTAATGCGATCATTTCACAACATTTATCACGATCAACCAATTTTATCGAACTGTAACAACCATATAGCTTGTATCAACCATATTCATAACCATAAATATAATATTAATGCAATCACTTCACAACATTTATCAAGATCTTGTTTGTCAAGTTGCTACAAGATAAATAATTGCTTTATTCAAAAATCTCACCCACTGTATCATCACGTCGCTTTACAATTTTTTGTTTCCCTAAAAAATCGCTTTACAATCTTACTAGCTCTAATAGAAAAAAAAAAGAAATTTTGATATATCCCACTTTCTATATGCTATTTTTATAAAAAGTCACATTTTAAAAGATAATATTATTGCAAATGACGACGTGGCACGTTTGTAAAAATTACTCTCAAAAGTGGTATTTTTCAATTCCCCTTACAAAAAGATGACAGCCATTTGCTTACTCACACAAATCTTCCATAAGATATAGTCAACTGTGTAATAATAACATTTCATAACGAGTTCCTTGAAATAATTAAACGAAGTTCTTGTCCTAAGTTAACTTAAAGAATAGAGGGGGTTATCTGGACATTGATAAACCCATGGAAGAACATTTCATATAGAATTCGTTGACAGAAAAAAAAAAAACACCTCCTATATAATTTTGGGAACTAATTAAACAATGGCAGAATTAACCGGTTAGTACTTACTAAATCACTGAGAAACTCTTTTGAAAAAAAAAAACAAAGTAAGTAGTAAGAAACATTCTGAAATTCATATATATTTATTTATTTTTGGGCAGGAGTGAAATATAAAGGGTGTAATTTGTGAAGTTGATTATCAACTGCAGCTATAAAGGCTCATTACTCCAGGTATATTGGTTGATTTAAACAAAATTATCCATAAAAAGAAAAATTGAATTTCTCCTTATTATGGTGGTCTCCATATGACATAATGAAAATGTGGAATCAAAGGCCCAATATAAAAGGCCCAAAGGCCCAAACGTGTTGGTTAAGGCTTAACGACGGTGTAACCACCGTCGACTGCGAGGTTATGGCCACTCACGTAAGCAGAATCATCAGAAGCAAGAAACAGAGCAGCTTCCGACACGTGTCTAGCCTTAAGCACAACTCCTTTCAGATTCGCCGTTAAACTGAACATCTCCTCCATCTCACTCGCCTCCATCTTGTAACCGTCGCAAGCCAACGGCGTCGCGATCCCAAACGGCGCAACACCGTTGACTCTGATCCCATGTTTCCCCAACTCTCCGGCGGACGATCTCACCAAACCCAAGAGCCCGTGTTTCGACGCCGTGTAACCGTGCGGTGTGTTACCCACGATCTCCGCCGCAACGCTCGTAGTGCACACGATCGAGCCACGTGTCCCGCTCTTCACCATGGCTCCCGCCACGTGTTTTATGAACACCGCCGAGCCACGGAGGTTTACGGCCATGACTCTGTCGAGCTCGTCGAGGTTCAGGTTGAGGATGCTGACTTGCTGCTCTAAAACGCCGGCGTTGCTGAACAGAACGTCGATCTTGCCGTGTTTCTTGACGGTGAAGTTAACGGCGTTTTCGACTTTAGTCTCCTTTGTGATATCACAGTGGTAGTCGCTGACTTTGTTTTCTCCGATCGAAAACGGCCACGTTTTGGCCGAGTTCGTCTTGCACGTCTACAATGACAACTCGAGCGCCGTCACGCCGTGTTCCGTGAACAGCCTCGCCGATTCCGCTCCTATCCCGCTCGCTCCGCCTGTTATAATTACGATTTTGCCATCCAATCTGCTGTTTATAAAAAAAAAAAACTAAGTAAATGAATTATATATGACACATCATGACTCTATCTTGTACTATGTTATATATAGAAATAATGGATATGTTGATGCTAGAGGTGAAGAATTTGCCTGCGTTGCGACGACATTGTTGAGGCACTTCAGTTTCAATGGATGAATGTAATATTTCACACCCATTGGATCCACTTAATTTATGCGTGATTTGATCAGTAGATTATGTTTTTATGCACATGGCCAGTTGAGCAAGGCAGATAATGATTACAAAATACTAATACTGTCTTTACTCACTAAAATTCCCTCAAAACACAATATTCTTTGACGGATTTGTTATTTGGGTTTCATTTGTAAACTTACACGAGAAAAACACAACATGCATACATATACAATATTATCTCAGCTGCTTAATTAAAGATCTTTAAGTCAAGTGCATGTGGAAAACAGCCAAGAACATGTGGTTATTTGTCACCATTGGTTTATTTTCATAATGACAGTAAACTTTTTTTTTTTGAATGCCTTTTATCAAAAAAAAAAAAAAAATCAGTAAAATT